TCTGCAGCGGCCAGGGCTAACGTTAGCCCGTCTGCAGCGGCCAGGGCTCACGTTAGCCCGTCTGCAGCGGCCAGGGATAACGTTAGCCCTGGATGCAGCAGCCCTCTCTGGACATAGCCGTGTGTGAAGTACCGCTGGCTCTGATTGAGGTTTGATTTCTTTTATTTGGCAAAATGCTAATTTAATGTTTTGTTTATCTGTTTAATGGTGGTCGGTAGCGGCTTTGATGGACCTGTACAGGGTCCACATGCTGCGGGTTCGGGTTGGCCGGCTCACCAGGTCCACCTGTTGGTTCCTAACCTGTTCCTCATTCAGTGACTCTTGTCCTATCAGCTGCTTTTAAACCCTTCGAGAGGTGCCGCTCTGTTAGGTCTCCAAGCTCATATCAGAGTCACTCTGATCCTCGGCTCTCATCAGCTGGTTTATTTATAACAGATTGTGTCTGGAAATCTGTTTAAGGAGTAAAATTATTATCCTTAACTTGTTTTTGGTTTTTCCTCCCAGATCACATTCCTCAAATTAGTTTTCATACGATTCATTTTTCACCCTCTTTGGTCCATTCTGTTCTCTTTCTGTGTTGGCATGGAAACAGAGCATCGGCGCTCTCCTGCACGCCATCTTGCATCGAATCGTTTGGCTTTAAGACGTTTAACTGAGATGGATTTCAGCAGAGAAAACCTGGAGCTGTTAGAGAACCCAGCGTGTTCAGACTGGAATCAGGTCAGGAAGCAAACGAACATCCGGATCTTTGCAGGAACAGAAGATTCTCCCCGTCTGCCTCACTGCAGCTGATGTTGAACGGATGGAAAAAGTTTTCTGTCAGTTTAGATCCTCATATATCCTGCTGAGCAGCTGGAAATGAGGAGGACACTCTTTGATGAAGAGTGTGTGTGTTTGTAGGGGGGGGGTTTGCTTTGCAGATGAACAAAGAAATGGCCGGCAGGTCTAATTAACCGGATCTGCTCCTCAGCTTTAGGCAGACACGTCCCCAGTGGTTTAAGTCGTACCTGGGAATGAACTCATCACCTCTGCAGAAGTCTCCCTGAGGAACCTCTGGGATAAAACCGACGCAGCGATAATCTCTACTTGAAGCAGACCTGAACCGTCCCTGAATGTTCAGCAAACCTCCAGGGATCCAGTATATCTACAGATTAGATGCTTATAATAATGGCTCATTTCTTTCCTCACGCTCCAAAGAAACTAGTCCATGCATTTGTTACTTCAAGGCCGGACTATTGTAATTCTTTACTATCAGGAAGTCCACAAACTGTAGTTAAAA